TCTTTGTCTCTAGAACAAAGAACCGAGAAGTAGCTAAGATATTTTTAGTTAATCCTTTGGAGGAAGGCTTGACCTTGCAACTTTTACAGTCTTCGGCTTTAGGAAAATATCAGTTATCTGTGGATTATCAAGGGCTCCATGTATTAAATTAATAAATATAACTCAACACTAAGATGAAAAACAATTTGCTATTGACTGCCAGTGGCTAGATCTGTTACACTCGGGCCTATAGGGCCTCGAACCTCTGACCAGGCTTACACAGTCTGCAACATCTCTGGATCCAAAGTCCCCAGCTGCTTCATCACTCCACATTGTCTTCTCTGTCTCCATCTCAGGCATCTGTTGCTCTGGGTAGGGTCCTGCTCTTGACGCTTCTCCATTGATGGTCCCAGAGACCTCCACTCCTAGACTGGAGAATTAATCACTCCCTTCCTTGTTACAAAACGTCTACCTTTGCATTTCCAACCCTTATAATCCGTCCTGATAAGCATTATTCACTACAGTATCAAGAGTTACCCATCTGTATTTCCTTTCATCAGCTCCGCCCAGACAGATTGAATAGTACCCACTGGAGATTCTGCCTTCTTCCATGCGCCCTAGCACTAGCTTCCTTCTTGAAAGCTTGTAAGCCAGTCACTTCTTGCCTTTATAGTACCCCCCTCCCCATTTGAGTATCCAATGACCAAGTTGCCCATCTCCATCCACTCTGTGTGTGGAGGGGTTGGAAATGTTTCTTGCTGTAAGGATTTGTTCCTTCTTTTGGGTTACTGTTCCATAGGTATAGTTCAAGTTCATCAGATTGTATCAGCTCACTCTTTTTTTTTTTACCTCTCTTCTTTCTTCTCCTGTTTGAGCTCCAATCGTCCAGTCATCTGGTCCAGGTCACGTGGGTATCATCTGCAAGTGTGGGCGCTCCTGTGCACATGCCCTTTCTTCCCATCAGCCGGTAGCTCCACTCTCCTCTCGAGTCCTCCGTGGCCAGCCACTGACTCTGGGCCCAAGAGTCCCCAGGTCTCCTCACACTGCTTGCCAACCAGGTCCCCAACTGGGTCCACAGAAGTTCACTGAACATCGTTGGGTTTAGCATGCCACTTCATTGCTGCTTTTACCCCATTTCCCCCAATCAGTGATGTGGTCACCAATCAGAGCATGCATTTCCTTTGAATCTTAGTTTTGGAAGGGGGTTTACGTTGAGAGGACCTGGCCACTTACCTTGATGTTTCCTAGGGAAGCGGTTTGTTTGTTCTTGTATTAACAGTCCATCTGCCTCCATTTTTCCTGCAGGTCTTTCTTTCAAGAGGTATCTTTTATTCTT